CTGTTCCCTCCAGTAATCCTGCAATACTATGTTTGGGCTCCATTTTCATGTGCCAGTTTGGAAAAGACTCTAAGAATGAAAGCAGGGTGAAAATAGAATTCACTTTATGCTTCTCTTCTATCGAAGTTTATAGCTCTGTGTTAGCTGCTGTCAAAAACTCAGTTATATCCAGACCCTATTCTTTTAAACTATCTATGATAGGAAGATTCCCATTCCCTGATGAACATGCCCTGTATAATTTCTTCCCCTTGAGTGTGGGTGAGACCTGTGAATGTGTGGATGTCACTCCTGAAATTAGGTTATGCTATACGGCAAAGGTGAAAAAATTCTGCTGATGTAATTCAGGTCACAAATAAGTTGATTTTGAGTTAATAAAAATGGGGGTCATATTTTGTGGGTCTGACCTAATCAGGTGAAATGTCTTAAAAGAGGAACTGGACTTTTCCTGAAGAGAGAGATGCTTACTGCTGAACTTGAAGAGGCAAACATCCATCTTGTGAGTTGCCTATGAAGGGGGGTGGCCTTTAGGAGCAAATGATCTCAGTTCTACAAGCATAAGTAATTGAATTCTGCTACCAACTTGTATGAGCTTGGAAAAAGTCTACAAGCTCCAGATGAGAAAGCAGCCTAGCTGACATCTTAACTGCAGCCTTGTGAGACACAAAAGAGGAGCTTCTTTTAAAGTTGCCTGTGTACGCTTCTTATTCAAATGTCCTTTGCAACCTTTGAACTTCTTTCCAGATCTATGGTTTTTGTCTATTCAAGTTTTCAACTTCTTTTGGGGGTCACTTTGATAATTTCTATTTTGTTAGGAAATCACCCATTTCCTGTACATTTTCAATTTGTTTTTGCCACAAAATTGCATACATTATACTCATACAATTTTTTTTCCCCATTCCTGATTCTGGGATTACATCTTCTTTCATATTCCTAATATTGTACATTTTTGCTCTGTTTTTCTTAATCAGGTTTAACAGGTGTTCATTAGTATTTTATAAAGAACTGGAATTTGGGTTTATTTATCCTATTATTTCTATAAATGATTAATTTCATCTTTTATCTTCTAAATTTTACCTTCCTAATTTCCTGGTTTATTTTTTGGTTCAAATTTCTCTCTTTTCATTATGGAAAATTCCGAACTAGTTTAAACTATATCATTCATGGCCAATCTTATTTCATCTAGATTACCCACAAAATTAGTTTGACATAAATTGTGGACATATAGTTTTGTCTGTAAATAGATGAGGACTTTCAAAAAACCAAAATGTCCATATCACACTTAAAAAAAAAACATATATATATATATATATATATAGAGAGAGAGAGAGAGAGAGAGAGAGAGAGAGAGAGAGAGAGAGAGAGAGAGAGAAGTTCTTTAACATTACCAGTGTTCTGGTGGTTATACTACAGTAGAATTGGGGGACAAGGACAGAGGCAAATTTAAGCTGCCATCCTCCCAGAATCTCCTGTTGTAAGGGCATGGTTTTCAAACTCTGACCATAATTCACAGTAAGAAATACATGTACAAACGGACTTCAAAAAGTTCATAAAAAATAAAATTTTAACAATAAAAAACGTAAACTTTATTTCTGAACATAAACTTCATCAAGTTCAAGACACTTTTGTAAACAATGATACCATGTAATCCATCCCTAAAGAGCTGAGGTTCCTGGGAATTTAACCAATGCAATGCAGTCCTTTTTACATTATTAAATGAAGAAAAACGAGTGCTGTTTAATTTCTTTTTAAGAAAACAAAAATAAGTCAGAAGGAGCCAAGTCAGGACTGGAAGGTAGATGCCTAATGATTTCCGATTGAAACTCTCACAAAATTGACCTTGTTTGATGAGAGGAATGAGCAGGAGCATTGTCATGGTGGAGAAGGACTCTCTGGTGAAACTTTCTTTGGTGCTTTTCTGCCAAAGCTTTGGCTAACTTTCTCTAAACACTCTAATAATAGACAGATGTTATTGTTCTTTGGCCTTCCAGAAAGTCAAAAAGCAAAATGACTTGAGCATTCCAAAAAACAGCTGCCAAGACCTTTGTTCTTGACCAGCCCACTTTTGCTTTGACTGGACACTTCCACCTCTTGGTGGAAGCGATATGGACACTGATATGGATACTCATGATATTGACATGGACACTCATGGCTTTGACTGTGCGCCCTGTCTTCAGAATCATAGTGGTAAAGCCATGTGTCATCTCCTGTTATAATTTTTCAAAGAAATGCTTCAGGATCTTGATCCCACTTGTTTAAAATTTCCATTGAAAGCTCTGCTCTTGTCTGCAGTTGATCTGGGAAAAAAAATTTTGGTATCCATCAAGCAGAAAGTTTGCTCAACTGTAATCTTTCAGAACTGTGTAAGCTGAACCAGTTGAGATGTCTATGGTGTTGGCTATTGTTTCTTCTGATAACTGTTGGTCCTTTTAAATTAGGGCACGAACAAGATGAATTTTTTCCTTGCCAACTGATGGGTATGGTCTGCTGCTGCAGGCTTCATCTTCAACACCATCTTATCCCTTCTTAAAATGAGTTATTTACTTGGAAACTGCTGAATTCTCCGGAGGCCTTGTCCCCATAAACATTTTGTGAAGCATCACTGATTTCACCATTCTTCCATCCAAGCTTCACTATCAATTTGATGTTTACTTCAATTTTAGCAGAATTTATCAGTTGCTCTGATAGGAGCTCTTTTCAAACTGTTGTCTTATCCTTCTTAGTGCCTCAAACTAGATCCTGTTCAGACACATTATAACAAGTTAGTACGAGTTTATTTTAGTGCAAAAAAAATTGAAATCCATGCAGTTTTTTCATAGCAAAAAAAAAAATTGAAATCCATGCATAGTTTTTCCATAAAAAGCATTTTCCACAACTTTCTGAAGAACCCTCACATAACTAAAACAAATATTCCACAAAGAATACTTATATTTACCATACGGATTATCTTGCTTCCTTGCATACTTTTATTCACTGTACATGCTGCCCTTCCTGTTCCTTTCTTCCCTCCCTCCCTTCTTTTCAAATGTTTGTTGCAACTCACTAGATTGACTATATAAGTATTACTATTACACTATAGTTCTATTATTTGCATTCTGAAAAACAATCCTATAAAGCAAGCTTCTAAATATTAAATTAACTGAAAAGGTTTATTAAATGAGTTTCAGATACCTTTTCTGAAAGGAGGAGCAGAGAAAAAGCATTTCATCTGCCCACTGCCTGGTGTCTCATGTCAAACCATTACATCTTCAGTTCACTGACATCCTGAATCTCTCACTTATTTATATTGTTTGTAACTAAGGTCTTATTTTGCTAGAGACCACTTGTCAGTACAGAATATTTGCAATCCCTACTGCCAGTTTCTTCTATTTGTCTTTCTGACTATTTCTACTTGGAATTTCAATTTCTGTTTGACATAATAGTCAAGCACATTTGTTATTTATACGATTTACCAAAACTGTGGATTACCATAATCCTAAATTACTAAAGATTGAGAATTTAAATCAAGATGTATAAACCGTTAAGGTCAAAATAAATAGCATTTATCTATTTGAGGATAAATTCTGCTGATAGCAGCCTTTTCTTTGTAATCTAAAATATAACCTTGAAATTCAAGTGAAACAAATAAGCAGCTATCAAATCAAAATCCATGTGAAAAAATAAACTTCTTCAATATTGACAAGTACAATTAAAACCTTTCCACACACATCTTTTAGTGATTTACTCTATTTAGCAAATATTTAATGCATTTCAATAAGCAGTTTCCTTGGATTTTGACCATCAAAGAAATGAAAGGCACTCATCTTGTGTAATTTAAAAGAGCTTTATTTAGTATATAATTTCCATACAATTCACTATGACAAATTATAAAAGCTCTTTGTAAGATTTTTACCCATAGGATGTTAAAAACAGAAAATCAGTTGCCACAAGAAAGTAAGCCACTCTCTCATCGTAAAAACTTTTTCCATGAATAGACAAACACTCTCTCTTAGGCCAAAATGTTGTCATGTATAAAGCATTTGGGAGTATATTAACCAAGATATATGATCTGAGAACATTTAAAAATCTTCCTATTAATTCCAAGCTTTGAATTAAATTTTAAAAATCAAATATTTCTAGGTTAATCCATATATAGATTTTGGTCAAAGATGAGTTAAAATTTTTACATCTTAGACAAAGTTAATGTGCAATCAGAATGAACATTTTTATTTTTAGTTATCTGTGAAATAGAGATGCAAACCAGATGAAATATGTACATATGCCCTTGCCACCTGGTAGCACCCACCCAACACACACATGTGCACACACACATATCGAGTTGGTCTCACAAAGGTCAGGAAAATCATCTATAAGAGGACAACAGATGGCCTAGATAACGCCTAATTATGCTCCTGGCTAATATACCTGAAATATATCCCTGTTCTTTGAAAGCCTGTAATAAAAGTGATTGGAACTTTTCAACTATAGTAGAATCTGTTAGCCATTGTGATCAGTATCAGTAGTTGGTCATTTAATCAAGTAAGTAGGTTAAAGTAGGGAATCATAAGTTAAAATGTGTAACTGTACATTTATTTGCTAAACTTCAGATGTAAAGCCAAGGTCTTTCCTTTGCAAAAGGGTCCAATGACTGTAGTTCTATTTCTTACATAAATCATACCAATAACATGGTTTGGGTACATTTTCATACCTTTCTATTGGTTTAGATTTTTTTAAAGGTGGAATGAATACTTAGATACATCTATGAAGCAATCTAAACTCAGAAATTTTCTTGATATTTGTTTCCCCCAATATTTTATAATTTTCTAACCACATCTATTTTATTTTATTTATTTATTTTAAAAGATGACCAGCAAGGGGATCTTAACCCTTGATTGATGTTGTCAGCAGCACGCTCTCCAAAGTGAGCTAACCGGCCACCCCTATATGGGGATCCAAACGTGTGGCCTTAGTGTTATCAGCACCCTACTCTCCCAAGTGAGCCACAGGCCAGCCCTCACGTCTGTTTTAAAAGCAACTTTTATTAGCAACTGAACTTTTATCTTACCAAAGCACTCCACTTAATTTTTGCAGAAATAACTCTTCCTTTTTATACCCATATTTCTTAGGTTTATGTAAATAGTTAATTGAGTTGTGTACTTAAAATAAGTAGAACTAGCATGGAGAAGTCTCATATGGGCATACAATTCAAGGGATGAAACAAGTGTTGAGAACACCGGAGAGTAGCCTCCCAGCTGTGCTGGGGCAGGCAGCTTACAAGAGAGATGCAGACTTTAGGGGTCTGGGGAGTCATATAAGTACAGTCAGTTAAGAGCACTTCTATTGTACTTAGAGGTTCTGCTGACTGCTAACTCAGAAGCTAAATCAAGTAGTTTTTCTACTGATAAAAAACAGCCATAACTGGAGGCAATTATCAAATATTAACACAGCCACACAAGTCTGTGTGGTGGGGCACTTAAGCCACAGGTCTCTTGCTTCCGCTTAGCAGAGAGCTGGAAACCAGAGCCAGAAGTCAGATGCTTTCCCTCCTTTTCTCCTGTGTACTCCAATGAGAAGACCATACAAGAGAATACGTGAGTGCTAAAAATATTTAATATGATTTGTTGAGAGATTTGGTCATCAGGAAATAAAAACTTCCTACTGTACACGGTCACAGTGTCTTGGAAAGAGTGTATGTATATATTCTGTCTTGTAAGATTTTTTTTTGGCACTTCATATTTTTCACTAAACACTGAACACTAGGTGTTTCAGCAACAATGGCACCCAAACTATGAAAAAAAAAAAATTACTGCATGCCATTGATGCAGTAATGATAAGCATAAAAACTTAAGTACATGTTTCCTGTATACTGAAACTCCAAATACCCAAAGGCTCAGATTAATACATACAGAAATACTAAAAATAAATTTAAACACATCTGAAAAGGTAACAAAGGATTTAAAAAACAAAACCACATAGTCTAACATTGTACCTTACATGTGCTTGGTTTCAATTAGAGTAAGGCACTCGCTGAAGGATGTACTGACCTGACCCATGCTGTCAGCTACAACAGGCATGCATCATTACCGGTTTAATTAAAGTTTTAGTACTGATTAAAATGTTTTATTATTATATTATCCTAAACTGCAGTGGTCTCCAATCTTATTAAGGGATACAGGAAAGACATAATTCAAGTTTCAGTTTTATAATTTAGTAACCCAGCTACTGTCAAGTTTTTATTTAAATAAGATGTGATAATATCTCAGAGTCCCTGTGTCCAATATAACAGTGTAAAAAATTTTTTGAATGCTATGTGATAAATAGTAACTGAATATAAATTCATTTGAACATGTGATGTGTCCATCTTGATGCCTATGGTAATTTACTTCAATACAACTCCAAGGAGAAACATTTAAATCATTTCCAACTAGCAAGAACAGGGGAGAAAGTTAATTTCATTAGCCATCTTGATTTAATTAAAATGCACAATATGCTTTTATCAGCAACTGTTATATGTCCCTATTATTAGAAATTAATTATAAAAGCAATTATCAAAAAATTTTGAGCAGGTACATATAATCCTCTTTGTTGTTTACAAATAATCATGATTTAGAGGCACTTGGTTACCTTTTAGTAAGGAAAAGAATAACACTACCAGGGCCCCTACAGTAAGATTGGAGACCACAAGTCAAACTTGGTATGAAAATGCTGTCTGCCAAAAATATTGTATTAGTGAACTAGTTAAGATACAACATTTAAAAAATATTCAGACTTTGCAAGGTTCTAGGCTGTAAAAAATACAAAGGATAAAAACACAAAAAGTTTACAAAATTTTGCAAACCCAGTAAATTGAAATGAGTAATAAAGCAGAACTATTTTACTTGTAGCAGAGGATAAACAGTGTCAGTAGGTTTTAAAATAATAACAGTGAACAGTAACAAATTCTACTTGGCTACATACATTTCTGCTACTTTAAGGATTTACAATATGGAACTTGTAACACTTTTCTGTGTCCAACAATAAAACACACACACACTTTTTCTCTCAATATATGATGCATACTACTGAAGTGCTACACATTCTATTTAAGACAGAATGCAACAAAATGTTGAATATACATACAAGAACCTGACATGATTTTTTGGTTAATGTTAAAAGCATGACTATTGGAAAACATAAGTTTAAGGTGAAACAGGACAATAAAAAGCTTTTTAAAAAGCCATCAATTGGTCTTCATTATTGAAATAATATTAAATAATCTAATTATGCATCCTCTCAATTCAATTCAACCACAGCTGTCTTAAGCCTGAAAATTAACAGGTTCTTATTTTCTGACATGATATGTGCTGTCCAAGCTATGAATAGAACACACATTGTTCTTTCCAATAACAAAACTAGGTCACTCTTAGGAAGCTATGAACGTTTAGGCTAAAGAACATTAGTGGAGAAGATAGAGACAAGACAAAAAGACAAACTTGTAGAAGATACTTTCAAAGATGGTAACACTTGTGTAAACATCTGTAGAGCTTACTCTTATCACAGCTTTAAGGTACAGGCTACCTACTTACATAAGAAATGTGATCTATCGTTTTGTTAGGAAACACTTTCACTGTATCAAAAATAGAGATTGGACAGAAATTTTGTTACTTGTTTCTGGTTAGCTTGTAAACATGGAATGTTTTGTTCTGAAATACTCTAGTGAAGTGTGCCATAAAGCCAGGCAGGTTTCTTTTTATCTCTTCACAGAAGCGAGGGTGGTCTGCAGGTTTCAAATCAGGATCATTCTCTCCTGGGCCATCCATCATCTAAAACCAAAACAAATCCAAATACAATTCTGGTGGGAAAAATATTTAGAAAGGACAATAGAAACAGGGATAGGTATTAGGTTTAAGAATGGTATGTTAGTAAAATAAAATTGTATTATTTCAATGTCAATGGCTACGTTGAGATCATCTGGTCCATCCCTCTCCACCTTCAGATGTATTAAGTGAGGCTGAGAAGTATAGTGACACACCAGGATCACCATTAACGGCAAAGCCAGAACTAGAACTCGATCTCCTTGTTCTTAGGAACATACTATTCTGTCTCTCTCACAAAAACAAAATACAGAGAACTACTATGACCAGAGAAAGTTCTCTAACTCATCAGATGGACTAGTTAGAAAAAATTACACACAAAGCAAAATTTAAATGCTTGTCTTTGGTCTGTTCCACCTCTGAATTCAAGATAGTTTGTGACTACTATTTTCCCTAGGCAAAAATCTTAACCTCAAATTCTGTACAGTCAGGTTTTTTTCTAGATTTAGGCGAGGTTTGTCATTCTGTTCCACTCATTTACAAATATTTATCAGCTTTGATACCAATAATGACAGCACATACCACACCATTAAAGGATGAAAATCTTTGTTTGCTCTATTTGAGACCTGGCATAGCTTCAAGAACATTTTCCTCAGAAGGAGAAAGGAGAAACAGTTTGTCGTTTTTCTGCTTTGGAGTGTAATGTTAGCGATAGGTCATTTTTGTGGACATATGCCAGTGGACAAAAGGACACCCAGGGAGAGAAAGCAGGTAGAGCAGTGAGAGTCTACCACCATGGCTAGGAGAGGGGGATGGGACCGCTCTCACAGCCACTCATGAACAAGCCAATATGATGCTCTGGAGCAGTGGTTTTAAAGATCGAGGTTTTGTTTTTAGCAGCAAAATCCTTAAAAAATAAATTTTATGCAGAACCCCATCCTACAAACCAACCAGAGGCAGAGTTGCTCTGTTTGATGAGAAATTGGGGACCTACAGCTCCCCTTTTATCCCTCCCCTTACCCAGCTGCTATGGCAGTCAGTGAAGTGCCAAGGTAGGGCGTTCTGCAGAATGCAAGAGAAAAGTGAACACTTGATTCATAATATAACTCAATTAGATAAAAAGTATAAAAAGACTTATGTTACTCAAGATTCAAATTGGAATCCCACCCCCTCCAGGAGATTCCCCATACGTGGCGAGAAGGGACATGCTCACGTGTCCATTGGCGATGTCCAGCAGGTCCCGAAGCCGGCAGCCCCGGTGGTGCCTTCGCTCATAGCAGATGCTGTCTTCCACGATTACATAGTCGGTGCCAAAGGACCTTAGGAGGGCATGCACTTCCTCTGGAGACCTCTTTGCATATATCTGATAAACCTTCAAAATGAGATTAAAATGGAATATAGAAAAATACCACTCAACCACCAGTGAGTTAATCGAGGAATATGATGTAACCTCCCATAATGGCTGAATCTAAGACCTAAACACCCAGGTCTCCCCCACCTGGCCCAGGCCACTGCTGTACTTACTCATCTGTAGTCTTGGGGTGTGTGTGGGAGATTTCCAAAAGAATATTGTAACTACTTACGCTTGGGAAGAGGGAATGTGAGGCATGCTGAAAACATATGGATTTAAACACCAAACACATTTGGATTTAGAATGTATTAAATTATGAATATATTCATCAGTAGATGCCAGTTCTAAGAATGCTTCACCAAGGTACATACACAGCTGAGTAGATAAGACACAGTCTCTATAAAAAGGGATGCTGTAGACTGGATGCCCTCCACCCTGAACCACACCGAGACTGAATCCCCACTGTAACTGTTGAGGGTGGGAAATTCTATTATGATAATTGAAAGGTGGGGGCCTTGAAGAGGTGATTAGATTGTAGGACCACGCCATATGAATGGCTTAATAATGGTGGTCAGGGGCATGGTTCTGAGGGTTTTCAAAAGGAGAATGCATGAGAAACTATCCTCTCTCTGCTCTGCCATTTTCTGCCATGTGAGACCCCTGAATTGCTATAAAGCCACCACTAAGAACAACTCTCACTGATGTATACACCCTGGACTTTGGATTTCTCAGCCTCTGAAACTGTAAGCAATAAATTTTGTTTTCTTTATAAATCGCCCAGTTCCTTGTATTTTGTTATAAGCAACAGAAATGGACTAATACAAGGGGACCTTCAGATTAAAACAGTTGTGATGTACCATCAGGGGTGATGGTACAGTTGGGGTGTACATGTACCAGTAGGGAGGAGATCCAGCTTCTGTTAATGGCAGGTGGGGAAAGGACCCTACTCTGATCCTAGGCTGGGGTGGCACTTGTTGCTTTCCTGCCGCTACACTGCATCTCACTTGATCAGGAGACCCTGACACTTATCTCTCCCTCTCATGCTTTCCTGGAACAAGAGGAACTTGTAGCACCCAGCGGCAGTTCAACAGAAAGCGCCCCCTTCACATTCATTACCAGCATCATACACCTTAAGTGAATATACACAGACTGTGAGTGTCCTATATTCTGGCACTTGGCAATGGGAAAAGAGAGAGAGAGAGAGGGGGAGAGAGAGAGAGAGAGAGTGTCTGTGTGTGTGTGTGTGTGTGTGTGTGTGTGTGTGTGTGTGTGTGTGTATGGATGAGTTGTCAACTGGAAAACATTTGTCATATCAAGATCTTAAAGCAAGAGTAAATCAAGAGTAAATATTACTGCTGTGGGTTAAATGTGTCCTTCAAAAGTTCACATATTGGAAACTTAATCCCCATTGTAACAGGGTTAAGAGTGTGGGAAATTCAATTACTGTATTTGAAAGGTGGGGTCTTTAAGAGGTGATTAGATTGTGGGTCATGAAGAGAGTTACTGCTTTCTCTGTTTCTAATGATAGGTTCTTTACTTAAGGGACTGGAAGTGAGGATGTAACTCAGTGTGTCCATACAGACGAATGAAATGACAGGGAGGTGAGCTGCTTCTACCATGAAAACTGTGAGGTCATCCTACAGTCCAGCACAAGCTCTCAGACTGAAGGCATTCCAAGGATTTGAAGATCATCACTGAAGAAGGGTACTAGGACTTTGATTAGGACATAATACTTGGTACCTAGACAGGGGCTGGATCTTGGAGAGGGCAGGGCACAGAAGGACTCCCTGTGCGGCTGCACAGTTGACATGTCTTTCCTGCTGCTCTCTAGTCTAAGCAGTATAGGCCACCTTGTGTCTGGTGAGTCAGGGACAAACCCACCCCCCCATCCTTTTAGATAATTTAGAACTATCTGGAACACTTGGACTAACTGAAAAATTCCCATTTGAGCAGGAATCTACCTTCAGATCATTCTCATAAAAAAACAGGGGACTCAGTAACATTCATTTGCTTTTTAGGATGGTTAAATCTCACCTTAAAACAAGACTCTTTTAACAACTTTTCAACTATCAACACTAAGGAATGACCAATATGAAACATTAAAAAGTTTGAAACCTTGTTGGTAAGGATTAAGGGAAACAGGTGCTTGACTGCATTGCTGACTGGAATGTAAACTGATATAACCTGTACAGAGGATAACTTGACAGTATCTATCTGTCTAAATTACAAATGCCCTTTGACATACCCTTTGACCCAGCAATTCCACATACATAAAATCTGATGTGCCAATATACATTGTACCTGTAAAGAGTGATGCATATATAAGGTTATTATTTATAGCACTGTTTATATAATTGTAAAGGACAGGGAAACAGCTTAAGCAGTTAAATAAAATATGCTATATCCACATAAAATATTATACAGCTTTAAGAATAACAAGCTGTTAATACACTAATATAGAATGATCTCCCAAATATATTAAGTGCCAAACAAAGCAAGATGTAGTACACTACTTCTTTTGTAAAAAAGGGGGAAAAGAATTTAATATAGCTGTATATTCTATACATATTTGTATTTGCATAAAATACCTATGGAAGGATACACAAGAAACTGGTAACATTATTTGCCTCCTGGGAGGAGAACCAGTAGCTGGAATACAGGGGTGGGAGGGAGACTATTCACTATATTCCCTTTTGAATGTTTTAAACATTGAACTATGTGGCTGTGTTATCTATTAAAGACAAACAAGCCCAGCATCAAAAACACCATCCACTAGAAATGGTCCATAAAATGGTCCACAAAAACATGACCAGTACGTCTTTACTCCTTCTCCTTCCCTTCTCAACTCAAAAGCTCTGAGGGGTTTGCTCCCAAATGCTCTCTTCTGTACATCTCCAGGCGTTTACCTTCTCAGTTACTCCTCTGAGAGGAATGTGTGGACTGAACAGCATGGCTAAACGGATGGAGTCAGGCTGAAGCACAGAACCAGAGATGCAAACCTTGTGCACTTAAGTTCTGACTTCCCCTCATAACCTACAAGCTGGAGGTGTGTGGCAATAAGCCTCACCTGTACCAAATATAGGGAAGCCCCACCCACGGCTGTTCTACAAGAAGCGAGAAAAGGTACAGATGGGTCCTCACCGCTTTGGTTCGCTCTCTTAGGCTGCTGTCTTCGTAGTGCGGGTGGTTGGTTAAAGTCCTTCCCGTGCATAGTTTGACTCCGGCCAGCAACTGCATGCTTCCAGCAAACACAGCCTTTATCGGAGTGTTAGAGCTAAAAGAGTTTAGAGTGTGAATTAACCTCACTGCTTAGATTTCCTCAAAGACAACAAAGAACACAAAATCACAGTCTCTCAGAATTATCCAGCTATGTCAGAAAGTAAGAGTCTGGAAAAAAACAGGATGTTGCTTGGGTTTTGACTACACTCAAACTATTTTATGTAAACTGTTCACATCTGTTTTTGGCTGTTCACTAGAACAGCTGGGAAACTTTTAACTTACTGTTTTGATGAGTTTACTTTTATAATGAATTGTCCTAGGAGACAGGTAGCTCCTCGGTCTAAGGCCTCGAGGTTAAAACCCATAATACTCTCTTGCTACTGTTCCAGAGGGGCAGATTCTAACAAAAAGAACTCAAAAGATTGCAACTGTTTTTTGTATTAAATTTAACGAAAAGGGCTGCTTAGAGTAAAACATAACAATTATAAAACTAGAAACTACAGGTGATCATGGGTAAATTCCAAGGGCTTTAGTTTAAAACAAGCAAAGAAGATCACAGATATTACTATAAATTAACTAATAAAAACAAACAAAAAACATGGAAAGAAGATGCTGAAATAGCAAATATCTTATTACTCAATATGGGGATGTAAAAAATTTCTGATGTGAAAATACAAGTATTTTATACATTCCTTTTCTTTAGTTCTTATTATGAAAAACTATATGCAGATTAAAGAATACAGGGTACCTTAATGTTAAATCATGATCTCACTTTCCTATTACTACAAACCTATAATTCTCTGCCTCCTAGTGGGGTGTAAGGGACAATGATGGATAACCAAGAAGACTCCCAGAATACAATGAAAGCATTCTCTACCCCCAGAAAAAAGAATCTTAGTAGCTGATTTAATTCCCTTCCATTTTTTTGAAAATTGGGAGTCACTTGCAAACCAATGAGGTATTATTCTATTGTGAACCTAGCAGCTCTTCCAGGGATTCTCCCCAACACAGAATTTCCTGTAGATGCCCACTAGGAATACTGCAATATGCACTGATCCTTTTCTGTTAAGAAAGAGGAGTCTATGCCTGCTGAACTGAGCTAAAATGATGGAGACAGTTTTGAGGAATCTATTTGAAATCATTAAAACTCAACATCCTCTGCAGAAAAAGTTATAGCAGGCTGTTCTCAATGTTTTTGGAAAGCAGGGCATGAAACTTGCTCTGGGGCTGAGGTTTCTAAGAGAAGCCTCATCATATCATATTCATATAGCCCATCAGAATGTTCTATTTATTCCAACTGAATGCTAAGACTACAGCATGAATGCCATCCAACAAAGGCCTCTGGATGTCTATGAGCAAGACGTCCTACAAGTCAAGTTGTGACATTTACGAATAATTTACTTTTGAAGATTCAAGATTTTCTTTCTAACAATGACACTCATATTCACTTGCATTCCAATAAGCTTTCATAAGTGAGGGAAAAAAGTAGATGAAATTACAATGAGAATACAAGGAACTGACATATAATCTGCATTCTCCCTTACCCATGCCAGGGTCTAGAATGAATTCCAACAGAAAAAAAGTTTTATGTGAGCTTGGCTATACTTGATAGTCATCATTCTGACAACCAGACCCAGGAACACAGAAACAAATAGATGTTTGCTTTGTCCCCTTATACTAACAATTTATAGGGAATCTTTGACATTTGCCCACATGGTCAGAGGAATAGGAGGGTTTAAATGAAAACATGTAAAGGTGCAGAGTTCCCCAGTAAAAGTTTTTACAGAAATTCAGTTTAATTCAATTAACACTTACTAAGCACTTATTCTGGGCCTTGTATACTGTGCTACCCTCATTTACGAGTATGGTGTACCAATAACTGCTAGAGAGAATATGAACAAATATTAAAGAGCCATCATTCTTCAGAACCAGTCTTCTTTCCTTTTATACCCTCTCAACCGGTTTAAGTCATTTCACTGCATTAAATGATGCAATAACATCACATATGAATGCTCCAAAGCGGCTATCTTTGGGTCCTCTGAACTAGATAGATTTAGAATGCAGAAAGAAGATGAGTCTGGCTTCCTCATCTGGCAGAGCATGAGGTAGAGGCAAGAGTTAATGGAGGCACACAATCTTGGTTTGTACAGTCTTGCTGCCTAAAGAATGCCAAGCTGGTCTTTCTACACAAAAGATAAATCCAGCAGCTGATCTTACAACATCCTTTCAAATCACAAGGCTGTCTAAGCATCACTCTTTTGAATTGAACAGGAATCAGCAGCAAAAAGATGCACAGAGCTGTTTATAGTGTGCATTTTATAATTACAGCAGAGATAGACAGACCTTGTTATCTACTTACAGCTAATGATCAAGGTTTCAGCCTGCTTTCTGGACTATAATCATAATGCCTCGATGAATTACAGAGTTCATAAAGGTTTAAATGTCAAAAGTCCTGAACTGCTTGCTGGGGAGTTATAAAGATATTTATTCAGAAAATATTACTGAGGGCTTACTATGTGCTGGGCTGGCAAACATGACATGATAACCAGTAAGCTTCTTGAAGACAGGTTAACAGAGTCAGACTCAGCTCCCATTACGGGTAAACATTTAAGAATAAACCAGTAATTAGTTTATCACATATTTACAAATGCTTAGTGTGGGCCTGTAGCTATGCTGGGAACTAAACACACCAGACTTTAAAGATACTCTTTCCTCAGAAAGCTCTAAGAGCCCTGAGTGACTCTTGCCCCCTAACCCCCAGCAGGCACAGCCCCAAGGCAGCAGCAGAGCCATCACCAAGCAGAGTAAGGTGATATGTCATATGACTGCTTAGAGGAACTGGGGAAGAACTGGAAAAAAGCCCGTTAAATTGTTAACATGTCTTAGTGTCTGACCTTATTAGCAAAAAGTCAGAAAGTTTAAAAGAAATGTAATCTGTTTAAACTGTTAGTGCAGCAATCCTCTGGATTGTTGAATACTATTTTACTGAGGCCTCTGGTTTATTTTAAAATAGTAAAGTACAAATACTCTAATACCTATACAATGAATCAGAAATAATATTGCTTTGAAAACTATTGACTTCCGAGGATAGCAGTGATGATGTTTATTCACTTTATTCTGTTTTGACCTGGTTTTGTATGCTAGCCCCATGGTAAATCTGGGGTATCTCACTGCTACTTTAAATATTTAACTTTACTCGTAAAGTAAATGCAGAAGTAAAAGCAACAAGCAAAGTGGAACAAAATGAAAAAAATCACATTTTCTAAACTTCAAAAAACTGTATTTTATATTCACTGTATTTTATATTTTCTGTGATAAACTTAGCAGGCAAAGGGAGAAGGGATTCTTCATCCTTAACTTAAAATATGCACTATGACAGATATAATGCTGGGCATTCTTCCTTCACGGACACTTTTGCCTGATAGTCTGTGGTCTGTATCTAAAATAGCTAATGTGCTTTTAACCACTGACTGACACTTCTCTATTACAGAAAAACAAAGCAAGTTTTACAAATGTTTGAACAAATGATGTATAAAATGAAAGGATAATTTGTTTTTATAGCTCTCTGCCAAGCTCCATAGCAGGCTGCCCAACCTGCCAACAATTTATTCTGTAAGAAATGTCACTAAATAATGACAGGGACTCACAGGTCAAACGGATTTACATTATATAATTTAAATGTCATTCCAGGGAGACCTGATGGCATTTTGAACAAATAATCTCATTTATTTTTGAAGCTCTAAGCTTCAACAAGTTAATTACTGTTGAACTAATGGGTAAACTGAGCATTATAAGATAATGTGTGAACATTTGCTTTATCTTCACTTCAAAAATTTATAGAATTATGCAAATACTACAAAATGATTCATTAAATATAAAAGAGGTTTATAGGAATTTAAAGTCTGAACTTAGCCTACATCATATTTAAAACATACAGTAATTCTTACTGCTTTGATTAAATGTGAAAGAAATCTGGTACACTTTTTCAGACCCATTGAGAAAATACTGCACATGCAGTCTTCATTACTGGAGACTATTTCCAGTGAACATCTCCTAAAGCCAAGGAGCTAAAATGTCATACTTCAAAATATTCAAATCTATGGGTCTGTCCATCTTAATTACACAATGTCATAGAAAAATTTCAGGAACCAAAAATCAAGCACTCAATGACACAAAGGAATGAGGAATGACCACAGACTGCTACTAAATTCGGCCTTGCTGAAGAAAATGTGCTTCCTAATCACCCAAAATCTGTAACAGTACCACCTGGTTTTTGCTGTAAGAGATACCAAAAGGCAAAAGAAAAAAAAAAAAAAAAGAAAGAAAACCAAAAAGATTTTTAACCTTTGTGTCTAGGAAACATTATCAGAGAAAAGGGGTAAACATGAACATATGCATTTAAATCTGCTTGAACACGGCATGTAGCAGCCCACATATAACGTGGAAAGCAGGCAGTCAGGTGAACACACACAGGCCAGGAGTGTGAAAGGCACAGGGTAAGCTCTCATAAGGAAGGCAGCTGAAGCTACCATATCTTGGGGGTCTGACTTCAACAAAATGCCCTTGTAGATTAAAATGTCTTTAATTAAAGTGTCAAAATGTCCTGATAAAAAAGAGAAATTTAATCCCTAAATGTTCTTTGTTTTACACTTAAACCTCCATTCCTTTAAGAAACTAAAGACAGAAACGTATAAAACAATTTCCTATTACTAAAAATTTTCCAAGTAATTTTCTATTACTAAAAATTAGAACTCTAAATATTTTTTTTCCACTAAACCTATTAAGCCTCTGAAAATCTTAAAATGGAGTTAAAAGTAAGAATATAGGAGAAAAAGAATTAAGAGAATCGTGCTGAGTTTCAACGTTTACTCTAATAATGAGGCAGTTGTAATGGATTGCTACCCAATGTTTACAGGTTTAACAGTGTCCTACACATACATAGTTGGTGCTCAATAAATAACTGTTGAATTGTTTTAATAAGTACATAGTTTCAGATGTGAAATAACTTCATATATTCAGGAGTTCAATGTTTTCACAGAAATCCAATCCCTTTGGTATGACCTCTCTCATATTAATAAGTGTTACCCTAAAGCAATATCCTTCATTCTTTCTTGAGGATGTCTTTAGCCTATAAAAGGTCATAGCCTGTCCCCTCAAAAAGAAAGGAAAGTAACTAACTCCTGCTGAGGTGATGGCACCTTTCAATTTACTTTCAAAGCAGAGAACCCCACAATGAATATTTGGGAAGTCCTAACTCCAAAAGGAAGCTCAGATTCCGTAGAGCACAACAGAGATGCCTAATGCAGGTGTGTGGTTTACCCCAGTATCAAGTACATGAAGCAGAGACTGAGAGATGGTGGATACGCCTCTTCTCAACACTTCACAGAAGAGTCGCCCTGTGCCAAAATTGAGTGTCACTTGAGATGTAAACCCTAGGGTTTGCACATGTCATTATTTCCCTAGTTCTGACTCATCCCGAGGGCAGTCATCCTGGAATTGAGGCTGTGCCCCATGTCCCAGTAGATGCTGTTGTGACTGCAATGATAAAGTACAGACATCTAAGTGTGTCCACTTCATCTGAGGCCAGCAGACAGGATAGAGAGAACTGAGGCATCCCTCACTGACAGTGATGAGTCCCTTTCAGAGGTCTGGTGCCTTCTTTCAGATGAATTCCATATATCCTCAGGCTACAAACTTTTCTCCAGCACAGCTCATACTTAATAATATCATGGACAATGTGTGACTAACACAAGTAGTAACATGGAAGGTGAGGTCATATTTTATGTTTCAAAACCAGAAGAAATCAGGACAGGTAAAAAGAATACTAAAGCACATTCACTTGTGTTTGGCATTGAAGCCTACACACCAGAGCTGATGTAAATGCTGATTTAAACAAACATACTTTTATGTCTAAATAGATCCTATTTTGGCGTACATTCATCATTACTTAAGCTTATTTTACAAACATGCCTAGCAGCTATTTTTACAAAAATGATATTTTAGATTTGAATTTTAGGGGATAACAGACAAGATTAGATCACAGTAGAACCAATTTTTTGGAACAATACAAATCCTTCAGTTGCTGAGAATTAAAAAAAAAAAAAAATCAATAGCATGTCTACAAAGGGAGAGGAGCTGTTAGTAAAAGGAGAATCTATAAGGAACAAAGACTATTTTGCCCAAATGAGAGGAATAATAGAGTAACATACTGTTTTCTTTATACCTGGAATAATCTCTCACCCATGATTTTTTTTTTTCAGAGCCAGAAATGTTACTTTAAATAATTTTCTGTGAAGGCATGAAAATAAAGACACTATAAATAAGTATATCCAGTCTGAGACAGCCAAAGATAACCTAGGGCTCTGCTAGAATAAATTTTTAATGACTCTATAATTAATTCCTGAAAGACTGGGGAGTGGAAGTGGGGATGCTTACAATGCTAATCCAGGCAGATCTGGAAGATCTACCATTTTCAGGATGTTACCAGAAAGTGAGTGTCCTACAGCATTAATTTCAATAGTATAATCTTAAAAATGGAAAGTATCAGCCTCACCTTCAGATGCACATGTCATACATTTTCAGTTGACTATATTAATGCAAAAGTAATTAGCTTTCTTTTATATGAATAACCCTCCTTTCCTATATACAATAAATACTGAAAGGTTATTCTGTAATTGTCTGCCTTGATTTAAAAATTAAATAAAGACAAAGTACTGCTTAGCACTCTCAGCACTAGAAATATGTGAAAAATTATACTCATTGCATCTAGTCAAACCCAGTCTGACATTGGGACCAAAGCCACATGTATATTTTAGACATAAATCTCTATAAAATCCATGTATTGTACTCAAGAGACCTAAGCTATCAAACATTTACTATCTCTTAACACACAAGCAGTGCTAAACTGTACTGGTTAGTAAACATTAGTCATGATCAAGTGCCAATATGGCTACTAAAATTCTAAGTGATGGAGAAAATACAGCCAATGCTTTCAGATATGCCACACAAGATTTGCAACATCTATTCACCTGTGAATAATCACCCAGCTGCTTTTTGGTTACAAAGTAGGGAAATACACTATTAAAGGGCATGGGAATGCTGCTCTGGGTAGAAAAGTTTATTTCTGCTGATGGAAGGTGTTTCATTCACAAAGCTTTGAAACACACGAATTTCATTCTGATTCTGAAAGCTGAGGCAAAACAACAAAGTGCAGGCAAAATAAGAACCAATACAGTGCTAAAGCATCACGATGTTCAAAAAAAAAAAAAAAAATCTCCAGTGTTTGTATTTTAAATTTTCTCTAGACCTAGACTTGGGCAATATGATTAGTTAAAAAATGAAATCTGAACCAAGGTATTATGATTCAAATTAACTGTAGTTTACACTGTATTTAAAAATAATTAACAAGAAATGAATATTTTCAAATGTCAGCATTAATAGAAAATTTGAATGGTATTCAAATGAAAATAAAGATAAAATTGGCAGAGAGTATAAAACTGTAAGTTTTAACACAGACGATAAATAAAATTTTATTTCCATTTCTGTCAGTGGTTTGAAGTTTATAACCCGATTCTGTTTCCCTCTACAAAAAGTTATTTTACTTTCTTCATGGGATATAGTTGGAGAGAATATTTCTTGAATGGAAAGAAGTTTTCCAAATAGAGTTTTTAAGAAAAATTTAATAAGAATGAATGTTTTTTCAGAATTAGATTCAGAAAAAAACAAATTAAAAAAACCTCAAAAAACAAAGGAGGTGTATAAGTGACTCTTAAAATGTTAAAGGTTAAAAAAATCCTCTTACTTAATCCAGTTCATCAGCTCCACTGTATCTGGATCATAGAATTCTCTCAACTCGGAGAGTTCATCCATCATTCCTGGCCAGAACTGAAATTAAAAACAAAACAAAACAAAAACAAAATCCGCCCCCATACTCTCAACTATCACTAAAATTAAATGAAAAAAAGGAGAAACTGCCTATAACTTGTAAACTAAATAAACATGGCAACTGGAATATAGAACCACTTCACCTCTGCAGTCAACCCTCCTCGCACAAGGGAACTTAAATCTGAGAAAAGTTTCCAAACTTATCTTGAGCTGAAGCTAATTAGGACTAGAGGTGTTGTCAAGTTTTAAAAATGAGCTTTTATCTTACTCTAATAAAAATGCTATTTTAGGTGGTGTTAATATCTAGTAAAACATTATTTTGATATGACCAGAATACCAACCACAAGAAAGCTCACTGAATATTCGAAAAATGTAATTAACTAACATTATGCAATCCCCTTAAAAAGTAGACTGTACCCTGTAGGAGACAGTGGCATTTTACATCTGCAAAAATGTTTTCGAATATAGAATCTCATTTCATCCTCATGATAACCATGAGAAAGGTGATGCAGCAGGCAGTGTCACCACTGAGATTTATTTTTCATTTTACAAGTATGGAAACTGTGGCTCAGGAGGTACCTGACTTGACCAGGTCACAAGTGTCAGAGCTATGACTTGGAACCTGGCTCCAAATCCAGCCCCCTTTTCATTGAATAATATTGAGATTCTATTCTTTGTATCAGAAATCTGGCCAAATGGTTAGACATATATTAATATATAATTACTGGTACAATGGGAGAAAGGAATATGTGAAAGTAGGACTCTGCACAAAAATCTGGTCCATTTGATTTTTGTATTTATACCACAGGTATACTTTTCTGTATTTATACTCTTGATTAACTTGAGTTACTAAAGGTTATGTAGATATAATGTAAAAATTACACTCTGAATCCACCTCTTATCTAATATAACTTAAGTCTGCTTAATTCAATGATTAATTAAATCTTGTTTTATCAAATGATGATTGACTATAAAGACTTGATCATCTACAGACATCCTAAGGTTAACTGCAGGATTCATTTTATATATTGGCATAGAAGACCAATGATAATGTATCTATGCTTCATTGATGTTGAGAATAATAACAATTTCATTTAAGAACCACTAAGTAGAACCAAAGTAGCACCTGATTGGTCTATTGCTGTGTTTTAGCCCTGCCACTTTCTTATCCTGTCATCTAATCTTTGGCCATTTTTTTTTTTTCCTTTTTGTCTTTCTTTACTGACCGGTAACGGGAACGCAACCCTCGGTGTCGCGCCCGTACCAGGGACCGGCAACGGGATCGCAACCCTCGGTGTTGCGCCCACACCGCGCTCAGCCAGTGAGCGGAACCGGTCTCCACATGGGATCCAAACCCTCGACGGGAGTGCCGCCGCGCTCCCAAGCGGTGCACTCTCCAGTGCGCCACCAGGCCGGCCCATCTTTGGCCATTTTTATAGCTCATTCACATCTTGTTTCCTGGGTGGGTATATCAGGAAAACTGCTGGTGATGGAAAATCAGTTGTCAGCACTTCTGGCTCTAGTTTTTGGAAGAGATGTAGTAAAAATTATAGATTAAATGATACATTTATAATATTTCAATGATCCATTTTTCTCTATTAATTTGATAGTCAATATAATATCATTTTTTTAATGAAATGCTCTAATTTTTTTAGTACAAAACATATTTGAAGTATGTGAACTCAATGGATCTGAGATATTTTTCTAGTTTGAAAGGTGCTGTTATTAATTCTGAAAATGGTGAAATCTAGTAACAGTCTTCTGGCAAACTCCTTAATGTGAAAGTAAGTGCTGAACTAACTTAATGCTGTTTTTATCAATCAGTGGATTATACAGAATTTTAGCAACCCAAATAAGTTAATCAAGACTAGAGTAATAATTTTATTTAAATTCTTGAATTCAGAGTGGAGACTAGTACATGCCTTTCCTTTTTAGTAGGATTATCTTAAAGATATAGCAAGATTGGTATTATGAACGAGAAATGTTGACGCACTCATTACAATTGCTATATAAAATTCAAATCTCTGGGCCGGCCCGGTGGCGCACTGCTACAGTGCGCCGCTTGGGAAGCGCGGTGGCGCTCCCGCCGAGGGTTTGGATCCCACATACAGACCGGCCGCTCACTGGCTGAGCGAGGTGCGGGAGCAACACCGAGGGTTGCGATCCCGTAGCCGGTCCCGGTCCGGTACGGGCGCGACACTGAGGGTTGCGATCCGTTGCCGGGCACGAAAAAAAGACAAAAAGGAAAAAAAAAAAAAATTCAAATCAGGCTTTGAAATATATAAATTCACATTATTTACAGATAAATCTGTAACAGCTGGAGTAGTTCGAACACAGATGCAGTTTCAGGTAACCCCTAATATACATAGCATGTTTATTTTATCTGTGATTTTATATTTTACAAGTTTTGAGAAGATGAAATATCTATTTTATACAATGACAAATGGATGCATTAGAATTTCTCCTGAAGTCTTATAGCAAGACAGACTAGGCCAATAATCTTTCCAAGAATTATTTAGAATAATTCTCTTACATAGGGAAAATCTACAAGGATATCCTGGAAATGATGGCTTTTTCAGTGCTATCACTGGCTCTTCTATAGCAGTGGTTCTCAAGAGGAGTGAGGGGAAGAATTTTACCTCTCCCACTCCATGGGATGTTTGGCAATGTCTGGAGACATTTTTTTTTTTTTTTTTTTTTTT